AATCAGTAAATCCCTATCAACAGTTCTCAACCTTTAGAGGATGCACCAGTGGCCTAGGAAACTTACTGCAAAGTGAAGGCTGCCATCCTTCCTCCCTGTCATCCTTGTGATTCTGATTCCATAGGGGATGTTTACTTGGACAACCATGACAGGTGATTGGATGCAGATGGTCTGTGAACCACACCCTAAAAAATAGTGCAAATATTTCAGCAGACTTGTTCTAATCTTTGTCAACTGCAAAAGAAACAATATTCTGCTGTGTCCTCTTCTGTATCCTAACATAACAACAACAACAAAAAGAGGCAGCTAGTAGAATCTCTACAGTTCTAAACTCTTAGCTATGCCCAGATTTCCTGCTGGGGCAAAAAGGTACAAGAGCTAAAGGAACTAGAGTGGCACAAAACAGCCCTTGACTTTTCCTTGCACTGTCACTACCAATAGACGGTCACCAGTGAGAGTCTTCTCTGTAGTCTCATATAGATCTAGAATTTAAATCATACCCAATGGGTTTGAAAGTAAAGAGTATGTCCCAAAGCCGTGACACAGCAATATTCCTCTATAAAATAAGATGTGGGTCTTTTTTAATAAAATAAGCTCAGTGTTCTGCGTATTACACTAGTTATAAACAGAGCACTAGTTTTCTTCACATTTCCTGTCTTGTCAACACTAGGTTGTTTTGTTTTACCTGAAGACTCTATGCTGTGTGTTTAATTTAAAATGCAGCTGGATGATGCATTTATTTGCTCTATTTTAAAAAGTGAAGCAAAAGTGACTTACACTGTTCTGTAGCTATGTGGGTAGTCAGGGGCAGGGGAAGGTGGGGACAGAGGACCCACCTAGGAAGGAAAAACAGGATCTCACTTTCTAAGACTTCAGTTCTCAGACTGAAACCCAGACCCGGGGCAGAGGAAATAAAAGAAGGCATATGAACGATTCCCAAAAGCCAAAAACCCAGAAGCATAGCTGACTGGCTATTTACTAAGCCTTGCCCACCATTCACTGAGTGGGTCTGTTCCTTAAAACAGCAGGACAGGCATCTCTGTCTTCTGTGTTATCTTCAGGTCACCTTATCAGCTCACAATGCAGTACAGTCACCGGCTCCCAGGCTCACAGCTACAGGCAACTTTTCCTTTCCTCTCCCAATTTCCTTCTGGCCATGCATTTGAGCACCGTGGTGTCCTATTACAGAGAGTCGTTGGAGGAAGCTCTGAGACCTGCACTTTCCTTGCTTCTGATTTCTCAAGATACTTCTTGAGTCAAGGCCTGACTCTCAACAGTTTATAAATAACTTGACTTTGGCAAACCCATAAGAATCATTTCTTGAATTTCTAAGATACAAGTGGCTCTTGGTTGCTTTTCTTCAGGAAAAGGAGGGTAATTAGCCCTTTAGCAAAACTTTTTTTCACTAGTGTTAGAACATGCTAATAATGAAAAGATGGCCACAAAAAAGATTTCCACATTGGTCAATGAGTTTCAACTGAGGAAAAACTGGCTTGAACTCATGACCTCGAGATCAAGAGCCGCACGCTCTACCGAATGAGCCAGCCAGGCGCCCTGGAAAAAAAATGGTTCTTTAAGCAAAGCTGCCATCTAATCTCAGTCCAGTACCTATGTGAATTCATTCATCCATTCATATAACAAACATATGGAAAGTCTACTGTTCTATATGCTGGGCACACAGTGGTGAAGATGAACAAGAACCTTTGAGAACTACATTTCAATGTGGTGTAGCTAGTTCTGAGAATGTCAGGCAATTGTTGGAGGTAGGAAGGAATTAGCTAAACTGAACCACAATGTACAGATGGTATCTGTCACTCCCACCACCCCAAGGATTCCAAAACCTCACCTCCTCACTTTCTAAGTAGTGAATGTGAATGTTTGCTGTTCTATGTATTCAATGTCCCAGTATTGAAAAAAGAATTCAATGCAGAATCTAATATGCATCACATCTCTAATAGGAAATTTATGTCAAGGGAAAGTTAGGTATTTTACTAGGAATCAAATAACTTAATTTGTAATCTTCCTTTTTTTTTTTCCCTTTGTGACCTGGGCAATATAATTTGGCTCATCAGAATGCATTGATGGCCACAGTTCAATGTGCATACAAATGGGAACACCTTTGTCTTCAATAAGTTTCTCATATGAGAAAACACACACACACACATGAATGTATGAATGCATACACACATACACACATACCTATAAGTGAAAATTTTACAGCAATGTGCTCTAGACTCATAAATGTCATATGGCTAGAGATGGTTTAAGTCATATTTTTGCAAGAAAGAAGTGGATAATGAGTAAAGATACTCACAAGGAGGCCCTATTATGAGCAAGGCGTAAGATAGAGAATGTATGTGGGGGGGGTACAAGAGGATTGGTATTTGAATGTGATTTGCATTTCAAATTTATCCTCTAAAATCACCGAAGGCCCTTAGGCAGGAGAATGCCATGATTCTCTTTGTTCTTTGACAGCAGGGAGAAGGATGGAAGAGCGAAGAGATTGGAGGCATAACCATTGCTGGAGCTGAGTGATGCCAAGGAGTTGAGATGGGATACTGGTGGGACGAACATATGAAGAGGAATGGAGGACAATAGAGGTAGGGTCCTCATGCTCATGAACGCTTGGCTTGGGAGTAATGGAAGCACAACTTCACTCACTGGAACAGTAGAGTTCTTTTGCATCATCTGGAATTTTTTTTACCTGTTTTGAGCACTTGCCATGTGCCAGGTATCATGTAATACGTTTTACAGGCATTGGACCATTCCATAGTCACGTCCACTCAAACCTACATCATATCTTTTCTTGCAGTAGAGTGTGTGGGTGGGGAGAGTAGCTAATTCATCTTGTACCTTCTCATACTTGCACAGTCTTTATTAGGAAGGCCTTGCATGGCTGGGAAGGCATTAAATGACTGTATGCAAATGAATGAATGAATAAACTTGTATTAAAATTCTCAGAAAGTCGGGCAGTTTGGGGCAACAAACAATATGCTATGCAAACAAGATAAAAAGGAATTGAGTTTTATGATGTCTACATGGATATTATGTAACCTCTTGGAGCTTCAGTTACTCAAGGAAGTGAAAAATCTCTATAGGCACAGAGAAGAAAAATCATTGGATTTCCAGTACGTTGCTGCCTAAGGTGTTGACCAGGGCAAAGTCTGGTGTGAAGACTTCAGTGTGGAGCCCAAGAAAAAGCTGGAGATGGGGACTAAAGAGAAAGCCTAGTCAAAGTCGAATTTTGCACAATACAATCAGGAACAAGATAAAAACTAGCCTTAAGATAAGGGATCCAAAAATATAAAGCAGAAAATGATTTCAGGGATACCCCAAATACAGACTGTATTGAACTAACAGTACATCCCTGCTGAAGTAGCTCTGTCCATTTCTTAGGGAAATCCCTCAAGGAGGCAAAATCTAGTGACTAGAAATTGTATCTGTTTTTCATTTAAGTCTCAAGATTTATCACACTCATCGGTGGTCTATGGGTAAGATGTAGCTTCCTGAATACCAATAATGAGAGACCTGAAAACAATTATGAGTCAAGAAGTTCCTAAAGGCCATCACAGGTAAAATGCTAGTTAGGCTTTCGGGAAAGATGAATGGGAACATCATGGCAAGATGTCAGCTGTAAGGCACAGTGAGACTTGAGACTGAAGCTATGATTATCCCAACTAAGGCGTTCTCTTCTCTTATGATAATAAGAGCAGCTAATGTATACTGAGTGTTCCTTTTGTGCCAATTCTTTTCATGAATTAACTCTTTTAATTCTGACAACAAAACTATGAAATGGACTCCTACAACCCCCTCAAATATAGGTCATATAATAGAGGACACTAGACTCCAAGTTTAAGTGACTTCTCAAATCCCACAGCTAGGAAGGGTGGAGTTGGGATTTGCATCAAGGCACTCTCTGGAGTCTTTGTACTTTTAGGGTTACCCTGACGAAAGCCAACAGTCTTAAATTCCCCAGGGAAGCGATTTCTTGTCTTTTTTTTTTTTTTAAAGATTTTATTTATTTATTCATGAGAGACAGAGAGAGAGAGAGAGAGAGAGAGGCAGAGGGAGAAGCAGGCTCCCAAGGAGCAGAGAGCCTGATGCGGGACTCGATCCCAGGACCCTGGGATCATGACCTGAGCCGAAGGCAGACGCTTAACCATCTGAGCCACCCAGGCGCCCAGCGATTTCTTGTCTTTGAGACAAGCAACCTTTCCAGCTGGGAGAGAAGCCTAGGAAGGGCATGGCAGGAAGAGTCTTAAGCATATATAACTTTCATAGGGTTTTAGAATTAGTGCCCATTTTAAGTAGATGTTCTGCTTTCCATCCAATTGGAACTAAACAGTTCCATAGTATTTCAAATTAGGCAATCCTTTGCAGATGCTTCAAAAATCTTTACAATATTCGTTATGAACAATTGGATATATAAGACCCAGTCATCAGGTAATCATTATGAAGAGACATATTCTCAATTGACAAACATTCTAAAGTAAAGCAAAACAAAACAGCTTTCAGTTATCCTATTTTCTTAACTGATCTTTGTTAACATGAATTGAGGTGTATAAGTGACATTTTAAATCATTTAGTATTATAGGAGTGCCTTTTAGGTGGACAACTCTATATGAATTTCATGCTTAAAAACCATTTTTTTATTCAAATTTCTTACAGCCACCCTAGGAAAGGAGTTATATTATCATCCCCCATTTCATGATGAAATTAAAAAAAAAAAAAACACACACACAGAGAAACTATGCAACTTAACCAAATCCCATAGCATGACAACCTTTAGAATAGCAAAATTATATACATGTGGTGATAACAATGGACCAATGATCTCTCCACATCAAACTCTAAAATTCTGAAAAATGTAGAACACGATTCTAAAGAATAGACTCACTTCTCAAAGTAAGACAAATATAATCTTATAAGGACACATGATTAACAAACTCACACTAATATTTTGAAACTACTTGATTTACTTTCTCATAACTAGTAACACACAACATTGTAGACATGATTTATTTAAAATAACTTTGGGAAATCGTATTTTTGACTGAACAATAACAAAACTATTAAAAAGATAAATTGACTATGGAATAATTACCCAATGTTAATTTTTAAAAATAATTTTTATAAGCCAAACTTGTGAATTTAAGATAGGCACAGTATTAACAATTGTTACTATCAGAAACACATTTAAAATGTGTGTTTCATTGACTGAAATCAGCTGTGAAACCTGGCCTGGAACTTGGTTGGCTGTTTAGTTTAATTTGTCTTATTGTTTCAAAATATAAATAGTTTGGCCCACTCTACATTTGTTAAAAACTGTAATCTTAAAATATGAAAAAGAAAGCAACAACTTCTCAAACACATAGATACGACTAGTCGTTTCATCTAAAAAGTTATAAAATACTTATTCCTGGAGAACTTTCACGATCCTGTACCTCAAAGCTTATTTCAAAAACCATCATTATTTCACATTTAAAAACTATACCCTTGCATTGAAGATATGAACTGTAAACATGCTATTATATACTATCCACATTCCAATTTTATTTTTATTTTTATTTTTTTTATTTTTTTAAAGATTTTATTTATCTATTTGAGAGAGAGAGAATGAGAGAGAGCACATGAGAGGGGGGAGGGTCAGAAGGAGAAGCAGACTCCCTGCAGAGCAGGGAGCCCGATGCGGGACTCGATCCCGGGACTCCAGGATCATGACCTGAGCCGAAGGCAGTCGCTTAACCAACTGAGCCACCCAGGCGCCCCACATTCCAATTTTAAATACCCTTTTGTTAACAAAGAATGTTGCATCTAATAAAAGCATGACTTATTTTTAGTTTCAATGGCAAAGTTAGTTCCTTTGTTGAGGAAATAATGAAGCAATGACCAAGATACTTGAAACAATAACATCAACATTACACAGATTTCAAAAAAAACAGAATAATACACTTACATAAAACATAAACAGAATCACTCGCTTTAGAAGAGAAGAGAGATGGCTTTTCAAAATATTTAGATTTTCCAACCCAAGAAGAAATTTAAAAAATAAAGAGAAAGAGAGATAGTGAGACCGAGAGAGAGAGAGAAATAGAGAGAGAGAGAGAGAGATTAGAGACAGAGGCAGACCAAGGACCGAAACTCTGCAGAAGTAAAAATACATTCTTAAAGCAGTTTTTAAACTTAAACTTCTCTGACAAGGTAGGTAACAGAGAAACGTAGATTCAGTGCAGGATTTTATATAGAATGAAACACAGAAACTAAACTCCACCAAAATGGAATTGTGTTACCAGTCAATGCCTGGCTGGGACTCTCCCTTTGCATGAAAAAGAAAGTTAATGTTATAAGAATAAAACATTATCAAGAATGTAATATACACACTTTATAATGTTTAGGAGAACAGCAGTTTTCAAGCACCACACAAAAAATTAATTAGGTAAGTGAAGATAATGTTAAAGCGAGTTCTCTACAATTTTCTAACAGGTTATACTTTAAGTAGTGTAGGACACACACTTGAATTCATTACATTTTATTGCACTATAAATTGGCTATTGTCATTATACCCAAATGTAAACAATAATGTAGACTTCCTTAATTTTTCTATCTGTAGGTCTCCTTGGGTGGAAGACAACTAATTAATAACTATGTAAAACCTGGGAAATTTGTATACGTATATACAGCATTTTTCTGTAAATACCCACTTGGCTAAAGAGATCCCATGGAAATAAAGAGGGGAAACCCGAAACACAGCATCTTTTATTTTTCAAAAATCCTGGCTTGTAATGAAAAAAGCACAGGTGGGAGGGAGATAAAGCCACTGGCTTTTGTAGACTTATTAGAATACACTCATCTCTTTACGCATGCTTCTGCTAGTGTCCTAAATTTGGGTTCCAAATGATCCAAAAATTCAAGCCCATCTTCTTCTTGTCGTTCACTGCAACAACCTATAGAACCAGCCACCGATCCTTTGCCTTCGTAGTTATACGTAAGGACATAGTCTTGAGCATGCTTATGCTTGTCATCCTGATTACACAGTTGCACCTTCTGCCAGGGGAGAAACACAATATATTTTATTATTATTATTTTAAACACCAAAACTTACTAACATAAAAATAATTGCTTTGATTTACCTTTCATTGTTTAATTTTTAATCAGAGTGTGTCCTCTAATGGATTCCTACATATAAAAAATGCACATGATTGGTCTGTATCATAAATCATCTATAAATTCACTCTACAGCATGTTTCTAAAATCTCACATATGTGGCAGCAAACCCAAGTATACAAGGGTTCATGTTAGGTAATCATTAGTTTCCCTTTCAAAATCATGTCTAAAGTGAGATGCACCCATTAAACTGAGCCCAAATTGATGTGGGCTGAGATCTTTCCAGATAGGCTTAGTGACCATAAGGCTATAATTGCCTCGTACCATGCTTCTGGTTTCTAAGATTCGATTTGTCACATGGGAAATATTCACACAAAGTCATGGAAAAAAATAATTTAAATATCATCACACAGATAACTTCTATATTTTAAAAACAAAAACATATAAACTGGGACTGTTCTTATACCAAATAAGACATTTCATGTCCAATAAATAAATAAATAAATAAATAAATAAATAAATATCATCTAACATCGTTTCCATAAGAATTAAAAACCAAACAAACTGAGAGGAAAAGTAAATGTCCTCTTAATATCTGAGCATTACTAAATCAAAATTAAGGAACAACAACTTTACAATTAATAGATTAATCATTAACTGAAAACAAGAGTCAGGCCACTAAATTGAAATAATTGAGAAAGTTGAAAAGAGATCAAAATAAACTTGTAGGACCCTCAGGGAAACTCACTTCACCAAGATGGGTCTGAGTGAAATCATGCCACTCGGAGTAGTTGTATTTGCAGTTGTCCACCTCCACAGGTCCTCCCCTGCAGGAATCCAGGGTGTGATGGTGCCCGGTCCCCCGGCACAGTTCCAGAGTCTGGTGTCCGCCTTTCACCATCTCAATGGTTTCCTGCCCTCCATTTTTCACTCCTGATTCCAGGGTGCCACAAATTCCCTGAGCCGAATTGCCCACAGTATGCATTGTGAAGCCATTCGTGGGGCACTGAAATGCAAACAATTTGCATACAGAGGCAAACAACAACAGCAACATGCAGATAATGCCATACATTTTTGTGTTAGAAGGTAAGCTCCCTGAGGGCAAGAACTAAATCTGTCTTAGCAATCCTGAATACCCGACTTTTGTAACCCCAGAACTTCATGCAGCGCCAATGCATCTGCAAACTGCAGATGTCAAGCGGTCTATACCTTGAGACAAATCAGAAAGCTGAATGTATATTCCTTCTCAAAAAACTTCTTAGAACACTGTACAATGTCATCTGTTAAATTCTTCCGAAATCTCAAGGCTCAAAAATCAGGATTCCGGTATCAACATCTCACGTGAATTTACCCTGCTTGGTTTAAATTCACTCCCTTCACCTAGAAGGACTGGACTAGACTAGAACAGAAACAGAAATGGGGACCGGTATTTTTATTCAGTGTCTACTGTCATTCCCTTCAACTAAAACAAAAATACAGAAAAAAGAGTTGCCATAAAAATCTTAGCTGCAATAATAAATCCTTGCCATCTCAATGAAGAAAAATAAATCAGCAGGGCAAATAAGAACACCAAAGCTCTGGTCACTGATTTTCTATGCTGTGTTTTTGTAGGAAACCCTAAGTTTTATTTTTTTCAATACCTTCCTAGATGTCAACACACTTTTGTTTTCTAAATCTTTCCTGTTCTTATCATCATTATGCTTTCTGTAGAAAATTTACATGTTCCTCATCCACGTACTAGGCTAGAAATCAAAGCTGGAGTTCTGTAGTCACTTGCTAGCATTGCCGTTTCATGTATTTGACCTCAGGCTTCTTGCTAACCCATATTAGAACCAGAAAGACTCCATTAAAGTTCTTCCCACACTGATCAAAGCTTGCAGTCATTTTATTGCTGTTGCCAGAAAAAAAAAATTAAAAATAATTATGCTGATGATCTGTGAATAATTAAATGAAATATTTTTACAACACAAACAGCAGTTTCAATATATAAAAAAGTCTGGACCTAAAGTTGAAGTTCTATTTTAAGTAGAAATAATAATGAGATGCTAAAGGATTTTTACTATTACGTAACACTACATGACCACATTGAAAGGCCATATATCACCATGAGAATCAACATTGTTCTATCTAGTCCAGAGGACCGATGAAATTTTATATATTGTCAGTTACCTGATTTCAAAAGAACTCTTCTCAGAAAAGATAATTATAGTTGGTTAGGCCAATTTGTCCTCTGCATTTATTTTAAAACAGAATGAATTACTTACTATTTTGTCGTCTCCTGGAGCTTCTGTGTTTGACACAATGAGGTTCTGCTGGGCTAAATCATCAGGAAATACTTTGGGCTGCTTCGCTGCCCCAGTACTCCCACAGACTAAGGTAAATAGGATACCTGGAGAATGGAAGAAGTTACTTCAGTTGATCATAAAACAATGTAGAGTTATGAATTTAGGATGATTAATACAAAGACAGCTTTCCAGAAAACATCAATGGCTTGTGGAGAAAGTCTGACCTAACCAGGTATGCCACGAAGACGTGCTAAATGCTGTGTTTCTGCGCTGAATTTTATATCTATGCTGAGATAACACGAGAAGAGTGCTTTCAATATATAAATTCAGTATGTTGTGTTAAGTAGACCTAGAACTATACACAAATGAACAGCTACAGATAGCAATGCTGATTCTAAGAATGTGTCTTGAAAGTTATCGCAAAGGCTATTATTCGAGTTGGTGAAGGACTTACAAAAGAGCAAGGCTATGCCCAACAATATTGCAAGGATGGCCCATTTTCCAAGTCTCACTTCTCTGTGGTCAGTCCTCGGATCTCTGCGAAGCGTGCAGTCATTTTCAGTAATACAGTCACATAACATAACATTCAATGGAGTGATGAGTGACAGGCCGTGTCTATCTGTGACTCTGACAGGTACTCGGTACGTTCCAAACGGAAGGTCCTCCTGAAAGAAAAGACGAGCTGCCGTATCTGAAAGAAAATAAAACTGAGTGATAGAGAATGTCCCTAATTTCTCCTAGCATTAGGATATTCGCCATATTTCCTGACAAACGGATCTTCCTGATGGGAAGGCACCACTGCTAGGACTGAGAATGTGAACGGACTGACGAGTTCTCATCTAGAGCAACGGTAAACATACTGCACATGCAAGTTTCTCTCTGCTGCCTCTCACATAAACTTCCTTCGGCTCTCATAATAATGTATTTTTCTGCCCATAAACAAGCCCTTCTTATCGTAAGTAACAGGCGCGCCAAGACATTGGTCTTTATCATATCTTTGAAAATTTTTAATATCACCATGCAGTGCAATTTGCTTTTATACATGGCTCATCAGAATCTGAAATTCTGGATGTTTCCCCTTACTCTGTTTTCATATATTGTGCCAAACAAACAAACAGTTGTGACTCACTGTCAGAGACTGATTCTGACAACTTAGAACATGGCTGACCTTGAACATAGTGGCAAGCATGAGTTGTCCTGATGCTATACCGTCTCACAGTCCTATAGGACCCTGGGACCAACTGTATACTTTTTAGTTTTGATGTATTTTTTTAGGTGAAGGGTAGAAAATATCCAGGTCAATATCTAATTCAGTCTCGGGTACAGATCCAAAGACAGAATACTATTCTGAATATAAATGCCACATGCCCATGCCTAAGAATAACCCCTCCCCGTTTAACTGGCCTAGGGTGACAGTCTCATTTATTTTTAGGGTGTTTGAAGCTCTAAATATAAATTTGGGTGTTTGGGTAAAGAAATCAGTGAATAAGTCCATTTTAAAAGAAAGCATGGTTAACTTGGTAAGTTTATGTGTAAAAAATGAGAAGAAGACTAGCAGAACCAAAATTTATGATGCATAATGTGCCATGGTCTGATACATTCATTATCTTGTTTACTCCGATGCATAATGTGCCTTGGTCTGATACATTCATTATCTTGTTTACTCCCCCAAATAATCCCATTTTACATATGAGTAAATTAAGCCCCAAAGAAAATAAACAGCATGGTCATATTTATATCACTAATAAACAGGGGAGCCGGCATTGAACACAGCCTATTTGACTTCAAAGACTATTTGGGATACGTTCTTCTTAACTTGGTGTTTCCCAGACTTTTGGGTTATTTCACAGATGAGTAGAATTTTAAAGTAACAAAGTTTTGACTGACATAATCCTGCCAATGTTTTACTCTATGAAGCAGGAATATTAAACAAAATTACTACCTCCTTCCACACAATCTAAAAAGAAATGATGGGGCACCTGGGTGGCTCAGTTGGTTAAGCGACTGCCTTTGGCTCAGGTCATGATCCTGGAGTCCCGGGATTGAGTCCCGCATCGGGCTCCCTGCTCGGCAGGGGGTCTGCTTCTCCCTTTGACCCTCCTCCCTCTCATGCTCTCTGTCTCTCATTCTCTCTCTCTCAAATAAATAAATAAAATCTTTAAAAAAAAAAAAGTTCAAAAACCTTTAAAAAAAAATAAATAAAAAATAAAAATAAAAAAATAAAAAGAAATGATGTTATGACACCAAATCAGCAGAAAGGAGAAAATCTAAAAATAAGGTTAGTTCTGAAAATGCTGTCAGTTCACAGAGCAGGATTCAGGACACAGGGCCTTAACACGTCACTGTAGCTTCTGTGTGTCCTCGCTTTCCTTCTCCCTTCCTGTTCCCCTTCCCTTGGCTTTGTTTTCTAATCGGTCATAAAAGAAAATGGAGGAATATTCATTGGAAGCATGGGGTAGAAATTCACATTCAAGGACACCTTAAAGGCAAACCCCCTCAGTTTATAGCAGGTGGTGAGTCGTGAAGGCTGGAGTGCTGGGTGACCAGGGCTTCAGGAGACACAGGATGCACTGAACTGTTAAGAGCCGAGGTAGGGAGCGATGAAGCTGGCATGGAGAGAGTCCCTTCGTTTTTGTCATTCTCGTCAACACAGATCCTCTCGTGGCTAAAGTCAGAAGCACAAACTAAGAACTAAGTTGGTATCAACTTAGTATTCACGTACCGTTAATTTTTGTCAATCTCCACTTTCTTTCTAAGTCTGAATCAGGATCACTCTCCAAACTGAAGTCGAAGGGCGGGCCATTCGTAGGCCCATCGGGATCGACAGCAACAATATCCGCAGATGACAGGACAGTTTTGCAGATTACTACTGTCTGCTTTGGAATAACTGCGCCATTATCGTTCACATCTTGAAGTATAATTCCCAGGGTCCCAGTACATGTTTTCCCGTCTAGAAAAGTGGATGAAAAAAGCAGAATTTTTTAATGTTCTGAGTTTTCACTAGGAAACTGTACATCGAAAAAAACAGTTTTAAATATGGATGTGGCACCAGTAACATATAAATGGCGGTGACAAGCACAGTCACAGGCTATGCCCTTAAAGAATGTTTTTTAAAAAAAATGATCACTTTCAAATAGGTTGTGCTATTTGAAATAACTGCTATTCGATTTGTCATCCATTCACTAAATAGCTGCAAAAGACATGGAAACTTTCATGGAGGTTAGTTTTGACTGATTTTTTGAAAGGAGAAAATATGACCAAGAGCACTGCCGTACAGTTACATGCACAAGGAGACTTGAGAAGGTGGGAAAGCACAGTATGCACATCCACGTTCTGGACATAAGGAGGGGGATGGACAGATTGGCTGGAATTGATACCACAGAGAAGAGCTAAAAGTCCAGCCTAAGGATATGCATATAGAAAGTGCATATGGTTTTGGAGCAGGGGAATAGAAAGGTAGAAGATATGGATTTGGAAGATGAGAAGAAAACAGTACATAGAAACGTTTGAAGGGTAAAAAGATTCCAGAAGCGGAAAATCACTTGTAAGCCAAACTCATCATAGTGGCTGTAGCCTAAGGAATGCATCTGTCTCTAGACTTAATAAAAACTTACTGAATAACTACTTTGTACAGGGCACCGTACCGGAAAATCTACGGGCTTCAAAGATGAAGTGGATGTGGGTCCAGGCCACAGATCAGTAACACAGTTGTGAAGTCTGAAGCTGAACACAAATCCAGGACTTCTGTGTCTAGATCACTTCTTTCTGCTTAATCAGGAGGCCTTGGGACATCAAGGATGGACAAGAGGATAAACAAACCTATGCTGTCTGGGGCTGTGTCTTACATGAAGCTGCCAACCTGGGAAAGCTGGAAGACCAGGCACCGCCCTGCAGTCTCGACCAAGGCGACAGGACCTGCGATACCTGAGGTGTCATCAAGGGCCAGGAGACCTGGTTCTGAAATGTGAGACCCAGAAAAGGACAAGATGGAGGCAACTATGAGACTGCTATGCGGTAAAGTGGGAGAGAGGAAGAAACCAAAAACAGAAAGCAAACCGAACACCTCATACGTAATACAGGTTTGCAAATCAAAATTCCAGAAGGAGCAAGAGCAATGCTACAAAGAAAACCAACAAAATCACCCACCAGAAGATTAATTTCACTCTATGCAAGACATCTTTGAAACATGTGTATTTAGTATCTCCAAAGACATAAAAAAGGGTAACTGTTGAAAGAACAATGAAATTATAGCTTAAGTTCCAGTGGAAATAAAACAACAACATTCCTCTAATAGGGACTCCAGAAGAAGAGAATAAATAGAATGGCAGGGAAGCACTATTTAAAGAGATAATTGCTGAGAATATCCCAGAATTAAAGAGAAGCATGGATCTTTTTTAAAAATATATTCTGAAGGCAGTGCTACATAAATAAAAATAAACTCACACCATAAACATTCTATTAAAACTACAGAATGCAACCTAGGGAGCCAAAAAAGTTACCTAGACACATTATCTACAAATGGACAAGAATGAGACTGACAGTAGATAAACCTCAGCAACATGAGACATCAGAAGATAATGGAGTACGACCTGCACGGTGCTGAGGGAAAGGAACTTAACTCAAAACTTTACATTAAGTCAAATGATCAGATCAAGCAGGAGAATAACATTAAAATATTTTTCAGAATAAAATGGGTAGGGTTTATCACCTAGACCACACCACTGGGAGAACTAGTAAAGGATGTACACCAGCAAGAAGAAAAGGGAACCAGGAGAGAAGGAATGAGATGTAAGAAACAAGGCAATGATCTCTCCCTTTGGACAACTTAAAAAAAGAGAGAGGAGAGGGAGCCAAAGGAAGCAGGGGGATCTGTATTTTACCTGCCTGGCATACTTTTTTGGAGGGCAGAATAATTTCACATCTCAAAATCTCTTGTCCTCACCCTATGTGCTGTGTTCTGGCTCTCTCTGAAAACTGGGATTGTGGAATATCTCGAACATTTCTTGCCATTGGAGTCCACACAGAGTTGAAAGCACATGGCTTACTGGCTGAATCTGATGGATCGCCTTGTCTTTAAAAATTGACTTCTACGATGTCTGCTCTTTTACCACCGTGCTAAATGCCTGAACTTCCCTTCCATTCAACATTTAGAGTTGTGCAATTCACTCCATTTTTTGAGGCATTGTGATTCGTAGCGGTGTACAATATTTAAACCAAAGATCTTAAACATCTAATTCAGTGTTTCATGGCTGTTTTTAAATCTGCTGTTTAAATAAATACTCTAATTCATTAGAGTGTAGGCATGCAATGCTCACCTTCTAATATAAATGCAATTCTATATGAGTAAGTACTAATTCCAAATATGAAGTCATGGAAAGTGAACTACCCATGGTTTTGTGATTTTTCTGCATGGCACCCTCCTGATCAATGTTTCAAAAATTATGAAAACACACTCCTCCCTAAAGCTGGAATAAAACAACAAACATAGAAACCTAAAGCTGAATGACACTGCCAAGAGAGTTCAATTTGAGAAAACATTGAGAAGAAGAGAGAAATTGAACCCAAGGTGGAAGAAATAGCTAGGCTCAGGAGAGCAGAAGGTAGTACCAGAAAGCATATGGACCACAGAGGAAAGTGTGGAAAAATTTACACACAGAAGCCTTGCAAGAGTTTTAGAAAGAGAAAGCAAGTGCTGTAGAGAAGCAGGAAGTTGGGAAGAGAGAATGGACCTGAGGTCAGTGCTCCCAAGAGAGCATCTTTCATTAGGAAGCAGCTGGGAGGGTCCAAATGAAATTAGCCAGCATAGATTTTAGAAAAAGATAAAAACAAAACAAGGAAAAAAAAAAAAAAAAACCATTTTGTATGATCTCAGTTCATAAAATAAATAGTTGTAACATTTAGCCCCTACCCTCTTCAACAGAAATGAATGGGAAAGGCCCCATGACACATTTATTCTATTCCACAATGATGATTGAGCTCATCTAAACTCCATACAAATATTTGAACTCTCAATTATTTTATCTCTTCTGCAGCAAAGGAGAATGTAGAATAAAATTGTATCCCAAATCACTTAATTCCGGACAACAAATTTATCTGATCCATCAACAAGCCATTTGCCAAGGACTGTTAAAAATGTAAAAAGAACAGATTTGATTTTCTTTTTTTTTTTTTTTAAAGGTTTTATTTATTTGACAGAGAGAAACACAGCTAGAGAGGGAACACAAGCAGGGGGAGTGGGAGAGGGAGAAGCAGGCTCCCCGCGGAGCAGGGAGCCTGATGCGGGGCTCGATCCCAGGACCCTGGGACCAGGACCTGAGCCGAAGGCATACGCTTAACGACTGAGCCACCCAGGCGCCCCCAGATTTGATTTTCATGTTATTCTTCTTTTTCATTTGCCTTTGACCAAAAAGCATGTCCTGACAAAGGGACAAAGGAAACTGAGGCCTTTAAAGGACAGTCAAAGTTAAATTAATAATAACTACAACCTTACCGATTCAATCAATGGATAGGAACCATTTCTCATTCATTTAGAGAGAACTGAAATACCTAAAACATCTTCCAAGATTGCTTCTAAACTCTAATGTTGTAAACCATAGTGTAATAACTTATGTTTGCTGTAGTTAGCATATTTAGTTTATGGATGCACAAAGATCAAATGTATGTTATGCACTAAATGGATCTCATATATAACCACTGCGCTCATATTCTTCTCCATTTTGTAGGACTCACAGAACATTTTACATTTCATATGGTTTTATGGATTCACAGTGTTTGTCTTTCTAATTTTATAATATACCATTAATCATGACTATGATTATTTTTATATAATGTCCTTAATTAGAATTCTAATCCCCAAGTATACTGAGAGTTTCTGTAAAAAGATAGAACAATTTTGTAGGAATGCACTATGGGAGTAATCAGTATGTTCTCCGTGTAATGAATTTTCCTGCCAAAGCGAGTATTTTAAAAAACATGACTAGATAAATTGAAGCTAATTTTATTAAAGTAACTTTCTCAATTTTCAATGATTGTTTACTTTTAATAAATTATGGTTTCCGGTATTTCTATTACTAAATTATTTTATAACTACAGAAAACTGAGGGTGTTATTAGAAAGCAGCCATGAGTTAATAAATTACAGCAAACCTTTCAATTGCTCTATGTCTTCTGGAGAGAAATACATTTTGAGAATATATGCAGTTGATTTCAAGTCGATGTTGGTGGTTTACAAACTGAGGATGTAAGTAGGCGGAAATTGATGGGCTTAAACACAAAGCTCTTACCTTTGTCTGACGCAAGAATTGTGATATTATATATATCATCTCTGATGTTCTCTGCCTCTCTATCCAGGTTTCTGAAAATTGTGATCGATCCTTCCTTTTCATCAATTGTGACCCACCCTTTTGGATCAGTTAATTTCTTATACCTATTAGTAATGATGAATGAAAATAACAAACTGTATCATAGGCCAAATTACAATTCTGGCATCAAAACAAGTTATGAATTTTATTTTATTTTTTTAAGATTTTATGTATTTATTTGACAGAGAGAGACAGCTAGAGAGGGAACACAAGCAGGGGGAGTGGGAGAGGGAGAAACAGGCCTCCTGCTGAGCAGGGAACCCCCCCCCCCCCGATGCAGGGCTCAATCCCAGAACCCTGGGATCATGACCCAAGCTGAAGGCAGTGGCTCAACCGACTGAGCCACCCAGGTGCCCCAACAAATTATGAATTTTGAAAACATGGTAAATTTGGAATTAACTAAAACAGGATACCTTATGTTGCTGCTACTTCTTGTTTCGGGGTCATATGCTTTATATCCATTGCTCTTTGTTCCCACTGGCACATTTTCTTTAATTTGAACGGTTTGCACTGCAGGGCTACACTCGGGGCCCTCATCCTGATTTTTTACATTAACAGTAACTGTTGCTGTGCTCATGACTGATCGTGAATGAGCCTCTCTAGAATACAGAGCTTCATTAACTACGCCAATCTGTAGGTTCACCTGTTGTCTTTCTTCATAATTCAGTGGCTACAAAACACAAGTGTGTTGAAAATCAGATCAAGACATTTAGGATTTGGCCATGCTGGCATACATAACTAGTGTTGAGAATAGTCAGGAGAGTATTAAATATATACCCAGAAACTAGGTGGTGGTTGGAGGAGGGGAATCCACCTGATTCAGTATTTGGGTGGAACCAGAAAAGCAAAACAAAACAAAACAAAAAATGTTTCTCAACTGTGAGTAATATCAGAAGTCCTGATAATGAATTCAAAAAGCATTTAATGAAGGTGTTTCAAGGTTAACACTTGAGAAATTACTTTAGGACCTCCATACCCTAATCAACGGTTATTTACTACTCCATTCATTTTGGGTCAGCTTATCCTATCCTTCTGAAATGAATAGAATTATTTGTACCTGGTTTGGGATGGAAAATGTGGGTCAAATTTATAAAATGTTTCTCAGAGAGGACAGAGAAGAAAATAGAAAGCTCATGGACATTACACTTTCCTTTTTTAGCTCTTCCATCCCAGTTACTTTTTAAAGAACCAGTAGTACCAAATTTAATGGAAGGTTTTTATTTTATCTTGCCTGATATGTAGCTGTAATGAGAATAGGTAAAGCCATTTCCTGCAAGACAGAAATCTTGTCAGGTCTTGGACTTCACAGAGATAAAATTGCTTCTTAGAACACCAAGGATTAGGGCAGGGGTTGGATGAGGCAAGAGATATGATTCAAAAGACATTTCTTTGCTATTTTGAAACATAGAAATTAACCTACAAACTGCACTTAATTTTCATCATTGTAAGAAAAAGGATTTGTCATTCTTGATGCATGCTCTTTGTGAATATGTACAAAAGGGAAACTACATGGACCCAGGATAGAATCATGTTCTAGTTAAAGATGCAGCAGAAATAAGACTATGACTGTGTCCAAAGCAGGTGGCTTTATGGGCTAACTGGCTTCTGAACTGGCAGGGAAGTCTTCTGAGATGCTGCAGAATAGTATTAGAAGGAGGTTTCACAAGTATTTGCATCTTTGAATGGTTGAGGATTCCCATCCTCAACCAAGAAGGAAGCTAAGGTTTAATGTGTGCTAGATATAGATGAACAAATCTACAAATGCTGTCCCTATGGGTCTCACCAGGAATAACTCACCATTTGGGAAATTCAGGAAATAAGTGAAGGCTCCCTGACTCAGCTACAGAAAGAATGGGCTAGGAAAGTTTGGCACTGTCCCATGGGCATCAAAGCTGTGCCAGTTTTTTAATTGTTAAGACTTGTTGGTTACAAAGTGGATACTATTGAACACACACACACATATATAATATTATTTTAAATACCAAGACTTTATAAAAGGTTCTCCAATTTGAATATACTCATCCTGTTATAGTTACGGAGAACATAGCATTTATATTTACCTATGTATCTATTTTATTCTTATATTTACCCAGAATTCCTTCTTTTCATTAAGCTCTAGTATGCTAATCTACGATATTATAAGCTACAAATAACTAATTTACTAATTTATTCTTACCTTAACCACACACAGAACTCCTTCATTGGTTTTGGGGTCTGTTACTATTTTAAAATTCCCATTTTCATTGCCTTTTAAAATGGTATAATTAGCTCTCCAATTCACAGTATTCATTAAATCCTTATCCTCAACAGTAACACGTAAGATTTCCACATCAACTGTATTTTCTTCCACTGACGTCACATACTAAAATAATAAAAACAAAAAAGCCTTAATTAGTAACTGTCACAAATAGAGCACTGTGGGAAATAAACTCAGTTCTTCTAATTTCCAAGGACTATGTTTACATGATTTCAAACCCTAAGTCCAATTTACTGTCATGTGACTGGGGACACTGCATCTGAAATAATGGGGCAGGCATGGTTGGAGTTATGTATGTTTAGCAATTAACACCAGGTCCTACATTCTTCTTTTATTACTATCATGTACTTACAGAAGTACGGGTAAATATTGGTAAGTTGTCATTTACATCTCCAATATTAATGATGCAAGTTGAAGTTGTCTGCAAACCGAAATACTGACCATCCATGTCTTGTACTTTTATTTTCAACTGGTATTTATCAGTTACCTGAAAAGAAAGAATTTAATTATTGAGTGAAAGCAACATTGTAATTGAAATCTTATTTTACACTCTGTAATTTTTCTTGCATTAAAAATTTAAGAAGTAAAATTTCACAGTTTTCATGTACTGGCAAAAAATCTCCTCACACTAGTAATTTTCTATTAATTTATGAAAATAGAGTAGTTTCTCAAATTTAAAGTGCTGCTTTATATAGAATATAGAAAAATTGGTTTTTGTTTTACTCACCAGAAAGGGAAGGGGTAGCCATAGCACATTTTAAATTGCCTAGCAGTTAATCAAAATCTTTTATCTCCTATCCAAAGTACATTCTTAGGCTGAAAAATATATGGCAGTGACTCTTACACCAGTCTTGAATAATAAAGTAAAATAGCCTCCCATAAAAAAGGCAGATTTTTTTTTTAAAGATTTTATTTATTTATTTCACAGAGGGACACAGCGAGAGAGGGAACACAAGCAGGGGGAGTGGGAGAGGGAGAAGCAGGCTTCCCGCGGAGCAGGGAGCCTGATGCAGGGCTTGATCCCAGGACCCTGGGATCATGACCTGAGCTGAAGGCAGACGCTTAACGCCTGAGCCACCCAGGAGCCCCTAAAAAGGCAGATTTTTGAATATTTACATTTATAAAAAGATCTGGAACTGTAATTTTTTTTTCTGTCTGTGGAAAATGTAATCTGTTTCTTAGGGCTTTACATTCATCAGGGACTGTAGAAGGCTCATTGTTAGTTTCAAAAAAAGTGTGTTTCTCCTCATAACGGTTTCATTTATCATAAGTATTGAGGCATGAAAGGATTAAAAGCAATTCTAATAATAATGCATTCTGGATGAATTTTGGGAGCCTTGGGTTCTTTTCCTAACTCTAAAAATAACAAATGTAATCTCTCTGGCAGTTGGAAAAGTCTTTTTAGCTAGGTTTTCTCTTCTATAAAACGATGATACTAATACCTTTCCTATATAATTCACCGCTTTTCATAAGACAAAATAATATGTAAAAAAACATCCTGCCCTTCTACCAAGAATGTTTACCCTTCTCTCAACTCCATCACTTCTTAAACTTTCTTGTCTGTTATGTCTTACCTAAAATAAAACTAAAATTTCTCTATCTCTATGCTTTTTACACATATGATTTTCCTGATGTACTCTTCTCTCATAATCAGTCACATATGCAGAGCTGAAAAATACTGGCCTCATTTAAAAACTCATGCTAGTGTACTTTCAAGGAGAGAATACATATTTTGTTTGTAGTGAATTAAGATTTATTCAAAATAATCAACTGGCTAATAAAACAAAGAAAGAGATGAAGTTCGGGACCTAAATATTAACTTGTGATATCTTCAGATAGAAGAAAAAGTGTAATGTTTAAAGAGCATAAGGGGTTGAAAGGAACAGATGAAAGCTGGAATCCTGGCATCAATAAGTGTCTCCAGAGCACTCTTGGGTAACACTCCATGACACCTTCATTAGTCCAATGTTTTCAACTGACTTAGTAGAAGGAGCTATTCAAGACTTGATAAAAGAGGATTTGGTCTAGGGGCACCTGGGTGGCTCAGATGGTTAAGCATCTGCCTTCGGCTCAGGTCATGAACCCAGGGTCCTGGGATCGAGCCCCGCATCGGGCTCCCTGCTCCGCGGGAAGCCTGCTTCTCCCTCTCCCATTCCCCCTGCTTGTGTTCCCTCTCTCGCTGTGTCTCTCTCTGCCAAATAAATAAATAAAATCTTTAAAAAAAAAAAAAAAAAGAGGATTTGGTCTATAATCTGCTTTTCCCGAGCACATAAATTCCATGAAAAATCTGTATGATTTCTGGAGTTATAACAGCAATTCATTCATTCATTTATTCTGTAAATGATACTGTACTCTTCACTGGCACATACAGTAAAAACAAATGAATTTATGAATAAAATAAATACAGTTGTAATAAAATAAAATATAATTTCACTTAGGAATGTCCTTGTAGCTGCAGTAAAAATGATTAATTTTACCAAATTTTATTAAATTTCAACCCATAGTCTAGTGAAGAAATGGGAGGTATGCATAAAGCAGTTCTGCTACATAACATACAATGTTCTTCTCAAGGGAAGTACTTGTGTGATTATTTAAGAACTAAACTAGCTATTGTTTTGGGGGTTTTACTGCACAAAATACCATTTTTACATGAAAGACATCTATCATTATTCAGACTAGTGTATTTGGAAGACATTATATCTTAATAAAGTGAATCTGTCACTTCAAGGAAAACAACTATTTGTTGTCAATGATAAACTGGAGTTTCAAACAAAAATGAGACTTCTGGAAAACTTTTATCAACCACTGTGATATCAAGGGAGGTGAAAAGGTGACTTTTTTCCTGTATTGCTTAATGAAATGTGTCAATCTCTGCAAGATCTACATAATTCAGTAAAACACTATTTTCCAAATGGTTAACACATGATGTTACAAAATTATACATGGATAAATTGTCCAGAGTACAAGATAGACCAATGGATTTAATATAACAAAGTATGAAAGCTCCTTGATAAGGCTTTAGAGTGCACATTGCAAAAAACACATTTATCAAACTAACATTTATGAAACAAAAATTGTCAAGTTTTGGTGTAGTATCAAAAGAGTAGCCCCAATGACCTAAAATTACTATTAAAATACTCCTCTCTTTTCTAACTTCATCTCATGTTGGATTTTCTTTATATACTTTAGCTAAAGCTACATATTATAACAAACTGAATGCAGAAGGAGATATGAGAATCCACCAGTCTTATATTAAGCCAGGTATTAAAGAGACTTGGAAAAATACATTACAGTGTCATTCTTCTCAGTAAATTATTTACTGTTTTAGAAAGTGTAATTGTTTTTTTATAAAAATGTTATTTATGATAATGTGTAATATATTTATGATTTTTAAATGGGTGAATAAATAAATATTTTAAACTTTTGTCAGCTTTAAATACTAATGGAATAAATATCAATAAATATAGCCCTTATAAACAAAAGACCTGTGAAATCTTCAATAATATTTAAGAGTTTAAAAGGTCCTGAGACCAGAAAATTTGAGGACCACTACTCTAATCCATGAGGAAAAAAGAGAGGAAAATGAAATGAATCTGGTATGAACTTTTAGGAATCAAATACCTGACAAGCATATATTACTATACCTTAAGATTAAGGATTATAAACGTAGTAAGTAGGCCAGATAAACTCTCTAAGAATTCAGATGAATAAATGCCTGGTGGAAGAGGTAATAGTTGAATAGCCAAGTGAATGACTCACTAAACTAGGATAGCTGCAGTGGAAATGGACAGAATATAAATACAAGGTCATTTTAGAGGTAACAGCACCATGTTTGGGAAAGTGATCTGAACAAGGGAGCAAGAGGAGACATTAAATACAATTCTGAGAACATGAACTCAGGGTGACAAGAGAAAAATTATCAACAGGAAAAGAATGTATTAATGTCATTTTACCTAGAAAACACGGCAAGGAGAGCATGTTTAGAAGGCAAAAAGAGTTCAATTTTACATGTATTGCATCTTAGGTATCTGTGAAACATCCAAATCAGGATTTCAAGCAGTAGATTGAAAATGGTAAACTAGAGATCAAAGAGAAATAAATTTTCTCTTAAACTATATAAGGGGAAGAATGTAGATGAGACTGTCAGGGAAGAGATGATACAGGCAAAAAAAAAAAAAAAAAAAAGCATTGTTATCTGTAAATAACAAATGCCTGCACGTTTCCAAAAGTTTCACTTTTCATATTTGACATTTCCTGTTTTTACTACTATACTATAAAAATGCTAATATTAGGTAACTTGACTTTATAAAACATACATTTCAAGAGAGAACAAATTAGCAGTTCAAAATTAGCACACTGCAAGGTTAATGACCTCCATCAGCAAACTTAATAACTTTTCTAAAATTAGATTCACAACATGCTTTTCACAAACACATCTATAGGCGCTATACAAGATATATACAGATATGATTCAATGGCGATGTGACAATCAGGTTTTGTCTCCTCTGATATTGGTGTTACCTCTCGGTCTAGCTGAGATGATGATGTGGTGATCACGCCTGTAGTTGGATGCATGGAAAACAGTGTGGGGTATGCTGGCAACTGCTCTATGATGGAGTACTTGAGACGCGTGTGCATCGTGTCAGGTTCATCTTTGTCAGTTGCACATACCTGTCCCACGGTAGAACCTACATATTGAAAAATCCTCTTTAATTTCCAAAACTTTTACATTTTCAACATCCCCTTTATTTCATTCCTTTCCATCTACCTCAAAAAGCTTTTGGACCACTTAATTATATGGCTGAGTAGTAGTTTTTATACATTTGCAGACTTCTATATAAAGTATCATTTTTAAATATATCCCAGCATTCTAACATTTGGGAATTTGGTGACCATATCCGTATTTACTGTATAATTTTATAAATGTTGATAATATCCATCCATTGCCATTGTATTTCTAGACTAAAGAATTCTAACTACCCTTTAACTTTTTTCTATTTCTAAGTCTGCCCTTACATTGATCAAATGGTCAAAAATGTGTCCAAAACTCTTGGTTTAGTTAGATCTTTCTGGAAGACTCAAAAATTGCATTCTGACTTCCAGCTGATAAGGTCCATTGACATAAGATTGAGAAAACCTTTGTATTACTCTCAATGACCTTTATGATAATGCTCAGAGTACTGCCAATCATTTAATCAGTATGGGATATCAGTAGATCTCTTCAAGGCTAAGACTTTAATTGCTCAAAGACTTATTCTTCTTAGAGTGTTTTCTCTTGCAAGTATTTATTTTATCTCACACAGGAAGTAACTGAGTAATTTCTCTAGTTTTCGGGCACTAGGCTTGGCATTCCAGATGTACGATGCATCATTTAATCTTCACAACAATCTTGCATATCATAACCCATTTTACAGATAAGGAAAACAAGGTTTGTCAAGACTATTAAGTCTGCCCAAGGTCAGAGCACACAGCTAGTGAAAGGCAGAGCAAAATTCCCACCCACAGCCACCCTGATTAGCAAGTCCCTTGTTCTTGCCAGCGGAATATGCTGCCTCCCAATGGCCACAGTGAAATTCAATTTATGAATTAAAATGTTAAGTTGCCATACATTGTTAAGGTAGGTACGCACCAACTCTGCAATTTTCGGAAACTGTAAAAACATAAGTTGTTTCTGTAAAAACTGGGTAGTTATCATTTTCATCCTCAATTCTGATTACCAGGGGCAGTGGAAGTTCCGGAGTATATCCATCCGGAGTTGTGGCGAAGGCAATTAGCTGTGAAGAGTCAAATAAGGAAAAAAGCAAAATTAAAATATGGTTCCAACTTCCTTTGGCTTCCATTTGGAGACTGTTCAGCACGGTGGTGTGAGTTTCACCATTTGTTATTGTTTGGGGATGTGGACGGAACCTTAATGTCACAGGAGGTGGTTAATCCCATGGTGTACTACAGCATTTTATGTTTAATATAATAACGTAGATAATTTTGGTTTCTTTACTAGTACTGTACTATTGTGGATGAGTGTTAACAGCTTTTATTATTATTTTCCCAGAACAGTCTTGAAGATTATTTTGTGGGGTTTTTTTTGTTTTGTTTTATTAAGTTTTTCATTTTAATCCCAGTTGTTAACATAGTGTTGTATTAGTTTCAGGTGTACTATAGTGATTCAACACTTCCATACAATAGCCGGTGCTCATCCCAAGTGCCCTCCTTAATCCCCACCCCCTATTCCCCCCATCGCCCTACCCACCTCCCCTCTGGTAACCATCAGTTTGTTCTGTATAGTTAAGAGTCCGTTTCTTGGTTTGCCTCTCTCTCTTTTATTTTTCCTTTTGCATGTTTGTTTTGTTTCTTAAATTCCACATATGAGTGAAATTCTATGGTATCTGTCTTTCTCTAACTTATGTCACTTAGCATGATACTCTCTAGCTCCATCCATGTCATTGCAATGGCAAGATTCTGTTCTTTTTATGGCTGAGTAATATTCCATTGCATTTATATACCACTCTTCATATCCATTCATCAATCAATGGACACTTGGGTTGCTTCCATAATTCAGCTATTATAAATAATGCAGCTATAAACATAGGGGTGCTTGTATCCCTTTGAATTGGTGCTTTTGTATTTTTGGGGTAAATGCCAAACAGTGTGATTACTGGATTGTGGGATAGTTCTATTTTTAACTTTTTGAGGAATCCCCATACTGTTTTCCACAGTGGCTGCACCAGTTTGCATTCCCATCAACAAAGCAAGAGGGTTCAGGGTGCCTGGGTGATTTGGTCAGTTAAGCATCTGACTTCAGCTCAGGTCATGATCTCGGGGTCGTGAGATGTGATCACATCAAGCCCCACCTGTGTCAGGCTCCCTGCTCAGCGGGTAATCCACTTCTCCCTCTCCCTCTGCCCCTCCTCCCCACTCATGCTCTCTCTCTCTCTGGAATAAATATATAAAATAAAATCTTTCATAAAAATAAAGAAATAATGCAAGAGGGTTCCTTTTTCTTCACATCCTTGCCAATACTTGTTGTTTCTTGTGTTTTGAATCTAGCCATTCTGACAGCTGTAAGGTGATATCTCATTGTGGTTTTGATTTGCATTTCCCTGATGATAAGCAATGTTGAGCATCTTTTCATGTGTCTGTTAGCCATCTGAATGTCTTCTTTGGAGAAATGTCTGTTCATGTCTTTTGCCCATTTTTAAGTGGATTATCTGTTTTTTGGGTGTTGAGTTTTGTAAGTTCTTTATATATTTTGGATACCCTTTATTGGATATGTCATTTGCAAATATCTTCTATATCTTCTCCCATTCAGTAGGTTGCCTTTAGTTTTATTGTTTTCTTCACTGTGTAGAAGCTATTTATTTTGATGTAGTCCCAACAGTTTATTTTTGCTTTTATTGCCCTTGCCTCAGGAGACATATCTAGAAAAAAGTTGCTATGGCTGATATCAGAGAAATTATTGCCTGTTCACTCTTCTAGGCTTTTTATGGTTTCAGGTCTCATATTTAAGCCATTTTGAGTTTATTTTTGTGTATGGTATGGAAAGTGTTCCAGTTTCATTCTTTTCATTCTTTTGCATATAGCTGACCAGTTTTCCCAACACCATTTGTTGAACAGACTGTCTTTTTCCCATTGTATATTCATTCCTCCTTTGGTGAAGATTAATTAACCATATAATTGTGGATTTATTTCTGGGTTTTCTATCCTATTCCATTAATATAGGTCTCTATTTTTATGCCAGTACCACACTATTTTGATTAGTACAGCTTTATCTTTTTTTTTTAATTTTATTTATTTATTTGAGAGAGAGAGGGAGAGGGAGCATGAGCAGGGGGAGGGGCAGAAGGAGAAGCAGGCTCCTCGCTGAACAGAGAGCTGGATACGAGGCTCAATCCCAGGCCCCTGAGATCAAGACCTGAGCTGAGGGCAGATGCTTAACCGACTGAGCCAACCAGGTGCCCTTTGTTTGTTTATTTTTATTTTTTTATTATTTTTTTTTTAAAGATTTTATTTATTTATTTGAGACAGAGAGAATGAGAGACAGAGAGCATGAGAGGGAGGAGGGTCAGAGGGAGAAGCAGACTCCTTGCTGAGCAGGGAGCCCGATGCGGGACTCGATCCCTGGACTCCAGGATCATGACCTAAGCCGAAGGCAGTCGCTTAACCAACTGAGCCACTCAGGCGCCCTGTTTGTTTATTTTTAAAGATTTTATTTTTATTAAGTAATCTTTACACCTAACATTGGCTCAAACTCACAACCCTGAGATCAAGAGTCACATTTTTCACCAAATGAGCCAGCCAGGCGCCCCGATTAGTAGAGCTTTGTAACATAACTTCAAGTCTGGAATTTTTGTTTTTCCTTTTCAAGACTGCTCTGGCTATTTAGGGTCTTTTGTGGTTCTATACATATTTTAGGATTGTTTGTTCTAGTTCTGTGAAAAATGCTATTGGTATTTCGATTAGGATTGCATTAAATCCATAGACTGTTTTGCACAGTATGGGCATTTTAACAATATTTGTTCTTCCAACCCATGAGCCTGGAATATCTTTCCATTTCTCTATTATTTTGTTTTGTTTGAAAGCTTCCAGTGCATGGATTTTAAATACCCTCTCTGGATCTTCAGTAACTTTGGATTCTTAGGACTCCAAATTCCCCAGGCACAGTTAACTAAAATATTATCTTATATACTACTAATTAGAATTTCATGCATATTGGTAGTTATATTTAGATAATTCTCTTCATGAGAATTTTTTACTTTAAAAAAGGAAAGTCAGAAATAGAACAAATGCATGGCTATAAATTGTATGTGGAATGCAATTTATTTCTTTTAATTTTATAATACGAATTTCAACTCCAATTTTTCTCATAACAACTCTCAGAGAAAGCAGAGCATCACAGGTACTTAGAAGGCCATCTTGTAGCAATTCCAAACCTAAATATTTAAATCTAGGAATGCCTGGGTGCTCGGTCTGTTAGTAACTTTTGGTTTCAGCTCAAGTCATGATCTCAGGATTGTGAGATCGAGCCCTGCTCAGCACAGAGTCTGCTTGAGATTTTTTCCTTCTCCTTCTCCCTCCCCCTCTGCCTCTCTCCCCACTCAGGCACGCTCTCTCTATATATAAAATAAATAAATAAAATCTTTTTTAAAAAGTAAAAGAAAAAAAGGTGAAACTATCATACCAAGACCAATCTAAGAATCTAATGCTCTCTATTCTATAAAGCTCTTTTTGCTTCAAGTCTGTGCTATCAGATGTAGCCAGAGCAGAGACAACAAGCTCAGAGAACAAAAAAAGGTAAGCAAATTGAGAATGGGAGATGAAACAGCCAAGCTTAATAATTACTAATACAATATGTAAACTTTAGACTTTACCTCAAAAGATTCATACTCCTCACGATCTACAGGACGAGTGCAATATAAGTTTCCAGTATCTCTCTCTACATAAAATAAATTTATAGGTTCTCGGTCCACCCCAGGTCCTCTTATGGAATAGAATATAGTGTAGTTTTGTGCAGTGTCAGATTGAATCTAGAAAGTAGATATTATATACATAAGAGACAAATTTTTATTTCAGCAAGACTTTCATCTATATATATTTATGCAATCATGTTGCCATTTTTGTTGCAGTAAGTAATTGCCCCCTTTAATTTGTTATCATGTATGAATAAAAAACAGCAATAGAATAAGGAAGCCTAATAATTGAGAAATTTCAAGAGCAAGGCATGAGGAAAATAATGTAGTAGTGTCTTAGTTTTCCCGAATAACAGAGAAATACACTAAATGGTACCTCTGTGAACCAAACATTTAAGACTTTAACTGTCTGAGAAAACAAAGTATTCAGAGCATGAAAAATTACCCTTTCATTAATTTTTTAAACTTGAAGTTTTATTATACATAACATTTGAGACACTAGGTTTAAAGTTACTGTATACGGGGAAAAACCATGGGAAATGCTTTCCTTAATTAGTTTCTATTATTTGTCAGCGTCTTTTTACTATAGAAGCTGAGGTGAAAGGATGGGTGGAAATGAGGGAGAATAGAAATGACATAATATCTTGGCAAGTGTGATATTCTGGTACTTGATTCAAAAAGCAAATTTTTTCCCAAGCTGTTTTGATCCTCTTAGTAAGATCTTGACTATATGTCAGGATGACTAACAATGATTTTCAAACGATTTCTTTCTCAACTTTGAGATGCTCTTTTCTCAACTGTATGAAATTTGTTGGTGGGATATAAAGGAGAGTTCCTCTCAAATTTCAAGAACTGAGAGAAAAGAAACCCAAGTCAAGGACTCAATGGTCGTGGCAATGGATAGTGGAAGAAGGCCAGATTTGCTGGGGTTGCTACTGAAAGTTAGAAAGAGAGAGAAAATGTGGATCCAATACGATTTAAGGGGTGGACTTGGGGATAAACAATGGAAAGGATGTATGTGTCTTTTGCCCTTCATGGCATTTATCCTGGTGTCAGCAATTTCATCTATTATGAAAGGGGTTTCTATACTATGCCCAGGTGACATGCTTGCTAATAGGAAAATTCATTAAGGAACAATGTGTTTGAGAGTGCTAGATGGGTTTTACAATTTCATAAATGGACTTTGCAGGACTAAAACTGCAAAAAAGTGTATGCTGGTATAAAGATATATATTTATACCCATTTACTGAAACATATAATACACATACTCATGTATTCATATAGAACTGCTTTTAAAAATAACTTTATATTCATCATCCAAATTAAAAAAAAAAAATGGAAACCATAGACTTTCACAGTGAAAGGAAAGTAAATTGTACCTGTTGAAGAAAAAGTGGGAAAGGACCCAAGGAATTCTCTTGCATTGAACAAGGAATAGGAGCCCACCGTCTCTTGGCACGTCTTAGAACTTTTTCTTTAGAATGCCTCTTCTTTAATACCTCAATTTAGAACACAGGAAAAAAATAATAAAGTCCATGGTTACTTTATTCGCAAACATTGGAACTCTGACACATCTCTCATGAGGATTAACTGGGAAGGTGTAAGACCATGGTGGTGCTTGAAAACCAAACTAAATGTCAACACTGCAAAAAAGATAACAAAGAAATAACAGTCCTATCTGTTAACACAACAGTACTCTCAAGAAAATAACTTGGTACGAACATGGAAGAAAGAGAGATGGAATTGGAAGCCTAGAAGCAAAATTTTAAAAAAAATAAAATAAAAACCAACAATGTTACTGTTGCCATATTGCCATGCAAAACCATGGGAGGAGAGAGATGCAAGGAAAAGAAATAAAGTGAGTGGCCTTCTAAATATAGCATATGCACCTTCCACTCACCAGCAACTAGGAAGAGCCAGGGACCAACAGAGAATCTGTGTCAGAACGGGGAGAGAAAAATGGTGATAACTCTCAAGCTGCTGCACTGAATTATGGCCGATGGTTGAATAGAAATCATCTGGATCTTTAGTGTCAAGAGTCCAATAAGCATGCATGAGGTCTGAATCTCAACCTAAAATAATCATCTACTTTTTAAGACTACAAATTATGCTGTCTAAGATACATATAGACAGAGTTTCAAAATTTGTTTTGGAAATCTATTCTACAGGAAAAGATTAAGAAATGCTTCTTTGTGTCTAATCTCAAATACGCATGCTGTAGCCTCCCAATTTCTCTGTTTATATCCCAAATGAAAAGCAAAGACAACCTAGAATAACTGATGTGGCAAAACCTTTTTCCACCATTTGAACACTGTTAAGTTGCATGATGGTTTCCATTCTTCATCAAGCTGAACTATCCCACGTCATCTCTGATTCCACGTCTTCCCTGGTAATGTTACACCTGCAGAATACAATTCATTATGCTTCATTTTTATAGTTTGGTGTACCTTTGTTTGATGCTGTAAAAGAACAAGTAGTTTCTTTTCTTCTTGGTTCTCAGTGTTGTAAAGTAATATGGTAAAACTTCTCTCCTCTGAGGACAAAAGAATAGCATTTGTTGTATAGACAGACCCATCTTCTAAAATTTGGAAATCAGGGTCACTTGAATGAATTAGATTTGCAGATTGAAAGCACTCCTTCAGGTTAACTGTAGAAAATACACACAAGCAATCATTTGTAAGGTAAAACAAAACAATATATAGTGCTAACAGTAATCTATTCATTTGGGGGTGGGGAACCAAAAACTTAAAATTACACTGACACTTGTAAATGTTGCATTTTTAAAAGTACATACGAAACTATATGGTTAATTAAATTGTGCATAAACACCTATGTCACTTCAAACACCTCCTTTACGTCCTTTTAAAAAAGAGACATTTGTCCTAAAATAAAGGCATGTGAGTTCCAGTGTTTTAATATGTAAACCAACACCAAAAGAAGTTTTTCTTTATTAACTGAAATTAGCTATAGCGTAACACATGAGAGAACTTAAACAGAACCTAGAAAATTAATCAGCAGTTATTAAATTAAAATATTTCTTAACTCTTTGCATCTATTGTTAGAGTCATTATATTCTGTGTTCTCACTGGTCTGCTCTTTCCTTGTAAGCTTGAGTTATGTGAAAAAAATTAATTGATAAGAGGCACCTGAGTGGCTCAGTCAGTTTAGCGTGGGACTCTGGATTTCAGCTCAGGTCATGATCTCAGGATTGTGGGATCGAGCCCGCGTCATCCTCCACGCTGAGCAGAGCCTGCCTAAGATTCTCTCTCTCCCTCTCCCTCTGCCCCCCCCCACTGCTCTTTCTCCCCCTCTCTCTCTCATTCCCTCTCACTCAAAATAATAATAATAATAATTGATAAAAAGCAATTTCTGGAAATATATATCAGTAAAATACCAAAATGTTTTATTATTAAAATCCAAAAACAATACCTTTAAACTCAATAGATTCAATACTATTTCTCAATTTCATAGAAGTATGTTATAACATATGCCATTACCCCCATGTAATATAAATATTAATAATTATTTATTACTCAAACTAAGCCTTTTTATCTACTTCATATAATCATGTTTTTCAATAAAGGACAATATTCCTTTTATTGGAATGATATTATGTGTATTACAAATGATAATGTAATATATTAGTTTTAACTATTAATTCCAATACAGCTATCCTTCTAAAAATTACACTAATTTTACAAGATCATACCAAGTAAGATCTATTACACATTTTAGCAGTTTCTTACCTCTACCAACAAATTTCTCAGCATCTAGCTGGGAGGGAACTTGTAGTATGACTTTTTTGCAGGCATCACAGGTAAATGTTAAGATCTAAAACATCAAATCAGTATTACACATTAAAAAAAGATCCTTTTAATCTGTACATCATTCATATGTTAGAAATTGGTATAATTATAAATTAGTTTATACAACTAGCAAAATAAAATTTAAAAACATACACTGCAGTAGAAATCAGAACAAAATTACATGGAGAGAAAGAATAAAACAAAAGACCAAGAGTCATGGCTCCCTCCTTCACAAAGCATGTAAACTCCAAGAATTCCTTACCCTCTTGGGTTTTGTTTCCTCTTCTGTAAAAAGGAGCTAATAGTAAATTCACTGACTAATACGATGAGTATACTGAGGAACGAATGACAACCAATGTGAGAGCACTAAAAACTTAGGAAGGCAGCACAGGTATGTGAATAGGAAAAACAAACAAAAACAAATTTAGAGTCAGCAAAGTGTTTCAATTAATAGTCAACTGCCTATGAACTATGGTACCAAATCAATAGTATCTTAAACAAAAACCCAATGCTTTAAAGAGAAGCATCAACTCATTATCACGGAGTGACTTGGAGATTACTTATCTATGACCCCACACAAACAAGCACAGAACTTTGAAATATGAATTTATTTTGAAGGTGCATCTTCTCATAAGTGACCAGTAAGGGCATTTTACAAAATATTTCACTTAAAATTTTTTAAATGAGTTAGTGATTTATGGTAACCAATTCCAATACAATATATATTTGAACACACCGAAATTTAATTCTGTTCCCCCTAAAACTGTATAATGCATGCTTCTGAAAGATTGAACAATTCTATAGTTTTGCAAAGGCTTTTAACCAAAAGCAAGATAGCTGACTAGCATTGATACTATATTTACAAAGTCTATAAACACAAATTAAAATAATCAAAATTTGGATTAGAATTTTTATTTCTAATATACATTTTTATTTCCACTACACATGCCAATATACATTTAATTATCCAATTTAAGTTATATATGGAGGATCAGACAAGGCAGTGATTACATGTCATTTGGAAATTAGGGATGGACACAGTGAAGAGACTATTTGGATTGGAAACTAAAAGATGAGAAGAATGTTCACTGGCTGTATTGTCTTAGAGAAGACAGGCGTAAAATGAGATGTGTGAAGAGTCCAATTCAAGGTGGTTGAAAACATGCATCTACTTCTTCATTCAACCAACATTTACTGGTTGCTTACTATGTACAAGGCAGTGTTCAACAGTGAACAAAGTTCTTGACCTCATGGAGATTACCTTATAATGTGAGACACACAAAAAATAAATACATAAAAGTCATATAATGCCAAGAGATAAATGTTATGAGAAAAATAAAACAGGCAGAAAAGGTGACAGAGGGAAGACCAGAAGCCTGAATGAAATGAGGAAGCAAACCAGTTCACTAACCGGGGAAGAGTCTTCCAGGTGGAAGAAAAAACAGAACAAAGACCCTGGAAGAGGATTTTACCTGGTGTGTTAGAGGAACAAAAAAGCAGTCATGGTAGGAAAGCACAGTGAGGGAAGAGTGATACAGGATGATATTAAAGGGACAGTCATGGGCACATCACATATGGTTTAAAAGACCATAGTAGGAGTGTAGATTTTATTCTGAGTACAAAGAGAAACAATCATAGGTTTAGAAGCTGTGGAGTGGCATAATGTGGTGAGCATTTACACAGACTCATTCTGGTGGCCCTGTGAGAACAGACTACAGAGAAGCAAGAGTGGAAGCAAGATGACCAATTGGGAGGTTCCAGCAGAAATGTAAGAGAGGGAGGATGGTGACCTGGACTAAGGTGAAAACAGCAGAGAAGGTGAAAAATGGCTGGATTAATTCAATACTTTAGAGAACAGTATCCTGGGCATCCATTCATTCCTGCATTTAACTAATATTTACTGAATGTCTACTATGTACCAGACACAGAGCAGTAAACATGATCCTCATGAAACTTTCAATTCAAGGATAAGACATAGTGGTAATTTCAATAAAGTAGGATAAATGCTCTACTAGATGGGTACAGGGTGCTATAGGATAGCAGGGGGAACTAGCCTCATGTAAGAGCCAGGTGAGGTCACCTGAAGAGTGGCTGTACATTAGCCAGTTCAAGAGGACACACAGCTTCCGTGTTCCAAATACAGAAACGGCAAATGTGAAGCCCAGAGATGACACGGGTCTGAAAACAAAATCTTAAAAGGCTGATGCTCACAGCACAAAAGGGACAAAGTTTAAAATGAATTCAGGGGCGCCTGGCTGGCTCAGTCAGTAAGAGCATGCAACTGTTGAACTCGGGGCTGTGAGTTCGAGCCCCACTTTGGGTGTAGAGATTGCTTAGAAATAAAATCTTAGAAAAGAAATAAAAGAAAATGGATTCAGAGAAGTAGGTGTGGGGTAGATTCTGAACAGTGTTAACAAAGTATATGGATCTTTTTTTTCCTAAAGACAGTAAGAAACCAAAGATTTGTTTTAAGCAGATAAACGACATAAGCAGCTTCCCATTGGAACAAGGTGAGTCCGAGCAGTGTGGGGAATGGATCAGGGGAACGATTCTCATTTCCAATAATGGCAGCTAGGTCATTCAGGGGAAAAAAATGCCAAAATGAGAAAGGATGGATATGTTTTTTTGTTAACGGTCCTAAACCATCTAGCAAAGAATTGCTAGGCAGAAACTGAGGATCAAGCTCAAACACAGAGTGGTAATCAGACACAACTTCTGATCTGAAAAGATTGGACTCTGGTTGTTTGGCCTCAATAGAAGAGAAGAAAATCAAGCACAGGCCTGCCTAAGATCTAAGAGAAGAGCTGCCCACATTAATCTGGGACCCCAAATGTAAAACCTTCGCCATAGAGGGAGCCTGAAGCAAACTGGTCCTTGAACAGATTTGTGATCCACATTCACCTTACTTGCTTGGTCTGGGAACCTCAAGCCACTGATTAAAGAAGGCCTGGCATGTAATCACTACCATAGATGCTGAAAGACGTTTGACCAAATTCAATAACAATCCTTAGATTTAAAAAAAAAAAAAAGCCCCCCAAGGAGTTAATAAATACTTCTTCAAGATGATTTTATATTATGTTTTAATCACATCATCTATGGGAAAGCATTAGCAGCAGCCCCACTAAACTCAGAAACAGCATACTTTCCAAGGTCATCATTTATAGTTAACATTACATTAAAATATATTAGGCAAGAAGGAAATATCAGATGACATATAGATTGGAAAGGAAGAAGCAAAAAAAAAATCTCTATTTGCATTTGATATGACTACCTGGAAAACTGAAAGAAATCAACTAATAAATTACTATAAGACTAATAAAATACTATAAATTACTATAATTACTATAGAATTTCAGTAAGGGAGCAGAAACAACTATTAAAATACAGAAATCATTAGTCTTTGCACACATAAATACAAATTAAATAATATAATGAAAGAGAAGGAATCATTTTCAAAAGCAATAAAAAGGTAAAAGGCCAAGGAGTAAACTTAACAAGAAACATGTAAAGCCTATTTGAGAAAAATCTGAAAATATTTCTGAAGGACACAAAGTAGACTCGCACAAAAAGAAAGATATATCATTATTTTGGATAGAAAAAAAATCAACATAAATATATCAATTTCCACTAAGTTAAATTATAAATTTCATGATGTCAATAAAAATCTTAATAGTATTTTTTCTGGAACTAGACAAGCTGATTTAAAAGGTGATAAGGAAAAATAAATAACTAAGAATAGACGGGAAAACTATGAAAAAGAAAAGCAATGAAAGGATATTAGACTTAGCAGGTATTTAAAAATACTATGAAGTCTCAATAATTAAAACTGCCATTTTGTATATGAATAGGCAGAAAGATATTAGATGCATACAAATTGGAAAGGAAGAAGTAAAAGAGTTTCTATTTGTATTTGTTATAACTGTATACAGTCCATAAATGTTCTAACTTTGTTATACTCACCAATTATAGGAGTTCCTATTTCACCACATTCTTGCCTATGCTGTGTGTTTTCAAACTTTTGGGTGTATGCCAAATGAGGAATATGTCACTGAAGTTTAACTACATCTTTTCTTATTATGAGTGAGGCTGAAATATTTTTATGGGCCATTTTTAGTACTTTATGGGACTTTTTCATATCCATGTTCATGTTGGACTATTTGATTTATAAGAGCTCTTTATATACTTGTAGATTAGCTTTTTAAAATATGATCTGCAATTTTTTTTTCTAATTTGAGTTACCTTTGACTTTGCTTATAATATTTTTGTTTGGGTTGTTATTTTTGCCATGGACAAGTGTGTGTGTGTCTTAATATAATTGATTTATGTTATTTATAATATTTATAATATATTTATATTAATGATCATAATTTGATATAATTGGTTTTCTCAATATTAATAAGTGGCTTTTGAAATCTAAGCCATGTGAACCATAGATAGGCCTTCTTGACTCCAAACTTAAACAGGAATTCACCATGTTTTCTTCTATTAACTGTATGGTATCGTATGTTACATCTAAACCTTTCATCTGTTTGGACTTTTCTGTGTTCTACATGAGTTATGGGTTCGACTTCATCTTTTGCCAAATGACTGCCTAGATCAAGTAGTCTCATACTATATATATATACATATATAGTATAATATGATACAGTATAGTATAACATGCTCTATAATATATAATATAGTATATTATACTGAGTATAGTACTATACTAAAATGCTAGAATATATTACTATAATAACTAATATATTAGTATACTATATATATTATATATTATATATAATACTCTCTATAAATCCTCGATGATGTGATATGACGTCCATTATAAAACAGCTTTCCATCTAGTCATGTACAACCTTTATGGAGGGGTGAAGGAGCTGTTAATATCTACCAAAAGTACACAGTCATTTATACTTTTATCTAGCAATACCATTTCTAGTAATCTAATCTATTCTATTCATACACCTGCCCATACATGAAATGACATATATATACAAGTTTAGTCACTATGACATTATTTGTAATAGCAAAAAGTAACAGCAGAGATGATGGACAGAAGCAGAGATATCCATAAGGTATTTCTGAATGTAGATTTAATAGGACTTAATGATGGTTTTGGGGAGGGGAGCAGTGAGGAAGGAAAAGCAAACAGCTTCCAGACACCCTACCTGAGCAACAAGGTGTATGGTAGTGTCATTCACTGAAATACAGGATGTAAGAAGAAAAGCAACATTGTTTGAGAAGATAATAACTGCTGTGTCACACATCATACTGGGTAGATATAAAGACTTATTGTTTAATGAAGACATCCCAACTACCAAAATACATTTCATCTAAGGAGGCACCTGTATGATATTTCACCGACAGGACCTAGAATAGGGAGTCTGATCCTGAGTAGTCAGGAACAGGAAGGTCAAAAGAAAAAAAGGGAGTGATGGGGCGCCTGGGTGGCTCAGTCGTTAAGCGTCTGCCTTCAGCTCAGGTCATGATCCCAGGTTCCTGGGTTCGAGCCCCACATCGGGCTCCCTGCTCAGCGGGAAGCCTGCTTCTCCCTCCTCCACTCCCCCTGCTTGTGTTCCCTCTCTCGCTGTGTCTCTCTCTGTCAAATAAATAAATAAAATCTTAAAAAAAAAAAAAGGGAGTGAATTTCAATAAAGGCACAATCTACAAGGTGGAATTGTATAAGGAATGGTTTATATTTAGCAGTGGAGATCTGGTATGACCTTAAGAGAGTGAGCAGCCTCATTAGGTGTTTGGGTAGAAACCAGAGTTCAAGTGGTTAAGACACGTGTGTGGCGAGGCAGCAGTAGGAAGCAGGGAGAAGCTGATTTGTAGAATGGTCAAAGATTAATTGGGTACATGGAGAGGAGGAAATGTAAAGGGTGTTCCCCCAGTGAAAAGGAATTATTCACTCCTACTTAATAATATCTTCTACTCAAATGCTCTTTACACATCTATCACACTTGAGGCTCACGAGCACAAGAACCACCTGAGCCTGGCAGGACTTGGCCCTGATATGCACACAGACACCAGAGCAGCTAGAAGGACCCGCACCGCGCCTTCCAGCTAGAATGTAGCAGGATGAGGGGTGCTTTGCTATCTATCCACTTCTGGCCAATCCAGCTCTGAAGCTAAAAAAAGTCACCTTTAGTTTATTCACTTCGTCTTTCTTCTACAAAGGACCTGAGAGCACACAGAAAGTTTTGTGTGCAAGCATATGCAAAGCAATGCTATTTATTGCCCATACCTATTACTGTCCATGCTTAATTACACCTATTACTGTCCACGCTTAATTACCCCTTTTCCTTCAAAGAGTAATGGCCACTGGTTTAAAAAGAAGTGGCAACTTTATTAGGGATCTAACCGAAGTCATTTCTTTGTCATCAACTACATATGTTGTGACCGTTATTTATTTCATTCTTGGTTTTCTCAACTATAAAATACTAATTGCTGTACACCTGGCCCTTTCTATGACACTAATGTGCCCTGGGAATTTAACTAAGGGTCTGAAGTCCTAGAGAAAGATAGTGTAATGACAGCACTACAATTTCATGATTTAAAAATGTAAGGAATTCACTGTAAACTAAGTAAAATGTAAGGAATTCACTGTAAACTAAGAGCGGTTGAGAAGTGAAATGATCCGAATATTTCATCCCCCCAGTTCCAGTACTCCCAGAAGGAATCTTCCTGCTGTCTGTTCTCCAGGTTTGTCCCCTTGTCCTTCAGGCAACTTTTGCTCCAACACCTGGGGCTCAACGAGAAAGGTCACTACCGGGTTGAGCACTTTCTGGCACCTGGTCTATTTAATTTTTCTCTTCCTACGGGACTCAGGAAGTCCAGTCTGGGAAACCTCTGATCCCAAACTCTCCCAGGGGCTGTCCACTGGCACTGAATTCCTGTACCTTCTGCCTCCCCCCTCTCCGCCCCTGGCCATGGGATCCCAGGCTTTTCTGCCTGGGCGGGGAACCGTCCGTCACCCCTTCTCACTCCCAGGTTTGGGTGGGTGAGGTCATTGCTACTGTGTTCTTTAAAGTGGGAAAGAAGTTAGAGCGAGAGGGCAAAAGAGAAGAATCCAGATGCCTCTGTGCACAAGAGAACCGGACGAGCATTTCCCTAAAGATTAAGGGGGTAGCAACCGCACACGCTGACAGTGGGAACTATACAAGGGGTCATCTAGGGCCCGCCCATCTACCATTTCCAGGCGCGAGTGTCGAGACCGCTCCTCTACAGACTCGCACACACACCGAGAGCAAGCCCCGGAAAGGGGCGTAGTCCTCCCACCCGAGGGCACTTTCCGTCCCGTCCGCCCAGCGCTCCCCTCCGCCGCCGCCGAAACCCGGCACCGCGCCCGAGGTGCACAGCACCCTCCCCCCGAAAGGCAGAGGCACGGAGGAGCGGCGCTCCCCGCTCGTCCCCAGAGGCCAAGGTTTGGGATGGGTGTTTGCAGCTGGCGTCTGCGTCTCCATCTGCCTGCGCTGACTGTATCTATGGATGACTCCCTTCTCCTCCCCTTCGGGAGCGCGGCGCCCCGGTCGCGAACCTCTTTCTGGCAACCTTCCCCCATTCCAACAACTCCATTCATTCAACCGGCCGGCGACACATTAGCCTCCGCTTTGCCCGCCACCCCCGCCCACTCCTGCTCCCCCAACGGGCGGAGCCCCCTCCCGGGAGCCGGCAGCCGGGCGGCCACTCACCGTGAGGGCCAACAGCAGTTGCCTGCAGAGGGCTCCGCTCCGGGAGCGCGTGGGGCGGGCGGGCGCCATGGGAGCGCTCGGGGACAGGTCGCCGAGAGGCGCCCGGAGGTCGGGGTGGGAAGGCCCGGCGGGGCCAAAGGCCGCGGCGGGAGTGCAGGCTGGGCCGGCCGCGCAGAGCGAGTGGGAGGCACGGGAGGTGGCGCGCGGGGAGAGGCGCTTTTCCTCTGGCTTTCTCTGCAGCGCCTGCCTGCCACCCAAGAGGCTTTTCCTCTGGCCGAGGGTGGGGCTCCAGGCGCGCCCAAAAGACACCGATCGGCCCCTCCTTGGTATTTTCTCAAGTCTTCATTTCTTTAAGAGCGCAACAGGTGGGAACTCCCCTCTCGCCGCCACCCTGGTCCCTGCGCTAGGTGTTTCTCAGCAGCGGACGCCACCTATATGCCCCGTCTCGCCCCCCCCCTCCCGTGTCCGCCTGGAAGATTAGCAGCTGGCCCTGCCCAGCAGAAGCCCTGACTGTACAGAGACTCACTCCCCGGGCGCGGCGGGCGGGGGGGAAGGAGGCTCCCGCGCCCAGGCTCCGCCCCCGCGCGCTGCCCTCTCGGCCCGCGAGCGGCTCCGAGGTCAGAGACCGGAGGAGCTGGAGAGGTCGGGTCTACGCCCCAGCTGCCTCAGGCCTGCCTGCTGCAGAGGAACTCCAGGGCCTCTTCGCTGGAGTAAATGCACTGCAGACATCCAAGTGCGGTTCACACAGGGTTTTCAGCTGTGGCACGCCTTTCTTTGGGGGTCTTGTTTTTGCTTTTAGAAATGTCCTGGCTGGGGCGCCTGGGTGGCTCAGTTGTTGGGAGTCTGCCTTCGGCTCGGGTCGTGGTACCGGGGTCCCGGGATCGAGCCCTTCGTCGGGCTCCCTGCTCCGCGGGAGGCCTGCTTCTCCCTCTCTCTCTGCCACTCCCCCTGCTCGTGTTCCCTCTCTCGCTGTGTCTCTGTCAAATAAATAAATAAATAATCAAAAAAAGAAAAAAGAAAGAAATGTCATGGCCAATATAGCAGTGATGCAAGAAAATTACCATAAATTAAAGACAATAATTAATTAATTAATTAAGGGATTCCAGGCTCCAAAAAAATAACATCAAGGGTAAGTTACAACAGAAAACGCATCGCTTCAGATCCTAGACGTTAACTAAATGTCTGCTACCGCTGTTCTCCAAGACCCTCCCTTGGCCCAAATTAAAGCCATCTAATGACCTTCTTATACCTATCTCCTAAAATGAACTGGACGTTCACTGGAGATTTCTCTCTTCCTTTCCTACCACCAAAACCGGAGTTTGCAGCAAGAAAAGAAAAAGAATGGGATACAATTTATGTTTGGTTTGCAATGTACTTGAACTAGGTGAATTACCTCGGGCCTTCACCTGGAAGATTAAAATATGAAAGCAGTATGCTTGTGCTCTCCAGAGAACAATGACAGGGCGTTCTGACGCATCCTCCTGCACCTCTTTTCAGCTACTGGCTTAAACCAGGGAAGTCTGACCACAAAGGGGAAACTTGTCTGTTCCATTTCATTTGGTTTTTCTCCTATGAGATGTTTGGAGAAACCTGTTTGAAAAGCCCAACCAAGTCACTCACACCATTTCAGTTCCTAAAAACATGTACCATCCTATACCATTATACACAGAGCCAAGATTATTATAATATTGACCATATAATTAAACTCAAAAGTAATGTCAAACACTACATGGCTTGCATTCTATGTATTAGTCCCATGCTCTATTTTATTAATGAATGACACATAATGAGCTGTTCTGTTATTTCTATAGCCACAAAATTTATCATTGCACCTTTGCTAGTAAAATAAGCCTGGGTCATCGGCATGAGACAATAGTTGACATGCTTTTGTTTCCGTGTTTTTTAACCCTCATGTTTTCCCAGCAATGATTTCATAAACACACTTCATCCTATTAATGACATCATGATCTCTAGCATGAAGCTCTTCAGAGGACAGAGAAACAGGCTAGTTTCAGGTTCTAGAAATGTACTCAGGCTATCATCATAGTCCTTGACAATAGGACATTTCCAAACTCTTACCTACACTTCAATCCCTAATGCCTTAAGGGTAGCTTACATTTTTCCTCATTCCAAAAAAGGGCGGAAGAGCAATCTGAAAAGAATTCATCTTAGATATTTATTTTCATCTTTCACATTACCTAATTGAGGCTATTAAAATGGTGACAGGAGAGGGTTTTTTGAATTTTTTTTAAACAAAGGAATGAAATATAAGGGACTTCCTCTAAACAAGTGGCCCAATTTATTATAATGTATTTAGATTAGACTTTATGGTCACTGAAATGGATTCCTCTATAAAACAATTTTGAAATTTCAGGTATAAATTTGAAAAGACAATGAAATGGGTGTAGAAGAATTTTTTTGTAAGAATGTCTTTTGGGGGGGGGGTGCCTGGGTGACTGAGTTGGTTAAGCATCTACCTTCAGCTCAGGTCATGATCTCAGGGTCCTGGGATCCAGCCCCGTGTCTTAGAACTCCCTGCTCAGCGGGGAGTCTGCCTCTCCATCTGCCCCCCCCCCACCTGTGCTCTCCCATTCTCTCTCTCAAATAAATAAATAAATAATCTAAAAAAAAAGAAGAAGAAGAAGAATGTCTTTTGGCTGTGAAGATGACTCTGCTGACTGAACTGGTTTTCCAGTGTGCTATAGCAAGGCGTGCACCAGACCAAAAGTCAGGAACAACTTAAAGAAGTCGCAGTTAAGGAAGATAATTAAAGTAATACTGAATGCTGTCTATATGGTAACTTCCACTTCCAAAATTAAACTACTTAGACTTCTTGTGGCTGCTTTTTGGAAAAGGTTAGCTGGAAATGGATGTTTATTTCCACATGGAAAATCAGAATCAGAGTTGTCCTGAAAGAGATGAGCAAACAGCAGCCCCAGGTCCAGAGCGGCACATGTATGGTGCCTAGCTTCGCAGCTTTCTAATTTCAGAAACCAGAAAGCAAGCATGTTAATGGTGGCCAAAAAAAATCTCAGTTACTCACTGAAGTGTACATAGAGTACCTGAGCTGTACGATTTCTGCCAGTCCTCCCACTACTGGAGGGAGGTGGGTCGACATGCACGTTCTATAGCCACAAAATTTATCATTGCACCTTTGCTAGTAAAATAAGCCTGGGGGCAAATCTCTCTTGGGATGGTATAGGGCACAAAATGGAACCCAGAAGCAAATGAAACACTTAGGATGTTCTAAGTGCTCCCTAAGTGCTACTTAGTTTGGGTATCCCTCCTGTGCTACCATATCCTTGCAACCCACTCCTACCCCCACTCAACCTCATCTCTACCACAGCTCCCTGGTTCCTGTTCTTCCAGTACCCACCTCAGACACTCGTCTAGGGCTGAACCCCAGGGTTAAGGCACTCATCACACGCAAATCCTTCAACCCCCTTCCCCTCCACATGACCCCCAGACCTTCTCTGACCCAAATGGAGCAAGTCTGCTGCATTAAGGCCAGCTGCCACAGTTCGTACTAGTTGTGCAGTTTCTGAAAGTTTAGACCATTTTTTCTTAAAAAGAATCCTTTTATATAATGGGAGAAAGTTTTTTAATGTTGTTTATTGTCCAATAAATAAAATTTTTATTTTTTAATGCTGTCCATATTTCTTTGATGTTCTCTTTTCAAAATTGGTCTCAATAAAGCATAGTGTACTAATCAAACTCAATTTCCATGACATTTCTAAGTATATTTTTGAACTAAATAAGGGATAAAGTGTGAAACAAATCACAAATCAATTCTTATTACAGTACTTTTGACTTAATAAACCCTCAATAAAAACAAGCCAATGAAAGAATTTTGAGGCAATCGTGTTGAACATGACCAGAGACGGTCCATGACACCTGCTTCAGCTTTAATAGATGCCATTGATATATGGCCCCCAGGAGTGCTATGAACAAATAATACAAAAATGTAAAACTACAAAATGTTCATTTGTTTGCCTTACTAATTAACTCATTTGACAAGTATTTATTGAGAACCTGCTATGTCTCAGGCATTGTTCTCAGCATTGGGAATGCTGTGGTGAACAAGACAGGGCCCATGCTCAAGGGTAACACATAGGGAAAAATAAGATAACTGGGTAGGACAAGAAACATGCTCCATCGAGATATACATCCTGCTGACTCCTTTGTAAAACAAAAGAGAAGATTAGTCCCAAGTTAAGTACAAAATGATGTATAAACAGCATTCTATAAGGATGAAAAAATCACCGATATAAACATCATGTGTTAAATCTGTTCATGGTTTATGAAATGTTACCTACTTCTTAAAAGGACCTAGAGACAAGAAATGCACTGTTCCGTGAGATAGCCTAGCCTAGAGCATACTTGCTCTTGGCTTCTTTGACAGCAACGTGTCCTGTTTTCTTCTTCCCTTGCTGGCTGTGCCCATGCATTCTCTGTGGCTAGCTCCTTCTACTCTGACTCCTAAATATTGACACAAACACATCTGTGCTTTTTTCAGACCTTTGCACTCAGGGCCTTTCTACCATAAGTACTCTGTACATGCTCTTTCCTCTACCTGGAACTTTCTTCCATCTCTCCAGCCTGGTTACCTCCCATCCACCCTACAAATATTACCTTTTATTTTCTTCTCTACCAGGTCAAATTCTCTCTATGAAGTCAAGCCTTCCTCATGAAACAGCTCCTCTTGTTTAGAGTACTTGTCACAACTACAACGTTAAATTTGTTTGAATAATTATTTGACTAATGTTTGTTTCTCATCAAAGACGGTAGGGTTTCATGACTTCAGCGACTTGCTTTTTCTGGCTCAACCTTGCATCTCCAGCTCTATCCATGATGAATCCCCGCCCATAGACACCTAGTAAGTATTTGTTGAGTGAGCGAGTAAATGAATGAATAAATGAGTAATGCCAAAGCACTTTTTTGATCAGTAATTCTTTGTTTTCCTTTCTCTATTTTTAATATTTATTGGCCTATTAAAGTGATGTCTTGGATCAAATTTAGCAGGATCAGAGTTCCTAATCTGATCTCATGCATGATGGACATGTATTAGCATATTTGTTAAAATGTGAGATGGGCCTATCAAGAATTTCTGGTGTGTTTTTTTGGCACAAAAACAGATAAATATGCTACTAAATTTTAATATAGAACTCAGAAAGAGACCAGTGCATAAGTGGGAACGTAATATCTGATAAAATGGGGACAGCACACACCATTGAGAAGAGGAGAAATTATTTCATGGTGGCATTAGGAAAACTGAATCATTATTGGAGAAAAACAAAACTGATTCCCTACTAAATACCACATAAAAAGCGGCCTCCAGATGGTTTAAACTTTCCCATGATGACAAGACATAAAGTCCACAGAAGATGATATGGGAGAATATCTATGTGACCCAGAGGTAGAGGAAGATTTTTGAAATGATACCCCAAAAGCATGT